ATATAGCAATAGTCAAAAAGGTAAAAAGCATTCAAATAGAGAAAAGGTGATGTCCACAAAATCAGCAAATAACCCAAATCCAAGTTAGGAGACAAATCAGTCCCAAAATCCAAGAAGCAAATCCATAGGAAGAAAGTCTTTCTTTTCCAAAGGTGGCAAATGCAAAAGTCCCTTGAAGAAACAGGAGCCAACTTGAATCAAATAATCTAAATGCAGTAGCTTGAAATCACAAACACCAGCTTACAAAAATCTCAGCATGTGCATGAATACAAAGCAAGATTATACATGATTCCCCGCATGAACAAGCAAGCATGAAGCAGGCATGAAAACCAAATGTTGGACTTACTGAAGAGTATAGACTCACAGGCCCTATATTTATTCAGAAAGCCATGGCAAAAGCATTCCCTTTCCCTTGGGAAACCTCTCCCTGACCCCCTGATTCTCTTAATCTTTCAGACCGTCTTCTGCCCCCTTCCAGGTATGATGATGATTGATTTGACTTCTCCTATCAAAGACTGGACTACTGCAATGCACTCTACGTGGGGCTGCCCTTGAAAACGGCCCAGAAATTTTAGATGAGCGGCAGCCAGGTTGTTAACTTGTGCTCCTTACAGGGAGAGGTCATCCCTCCTGTTCAAGGAGCTCCACTGACTGCCATTCATCTACCAGACCCAATTCAAGGTGCAGGTTCTTACCTACAAAGCCCTGAACGGTTTGGGACCCGCCTACCTGTGTGACCGCATCTCTGTATACGAACCCACACGATCTCTTCGTTCATCTGGAGAGGCCCTGCTCTCGATCCCACCAGCATCGCAGGCACGATTGGTGGGGATGAGAGAGAGGGCCTTTTCGGTAGTGGCCCCTCAACTCTGGAACTCACTCCCTAAGGACATCAGGCAGGCCTCAACCCTGGGGTCTTCAGGAGGAGCTTGAAGATGTGGTTGTGCGAGTGTGCCTTCCCGGAATAATGATCCCATAGCACTTTGTCCCTCCAAAGCACTTTATACTTTTAGGTCTGCTCGTATGTCTTCCACAAACGCCACTATCGCCTTTTCGTCCATGCCTCAGCACTTTTCCAATTTTAATTTTTACATTTGGCCTTCCCACAATTTTTAATTGTATGTTGTCTTATTGATAATGTTATATGTTTATCGTTTATGTTTTATTTTAATTGCTTGTATTGTTGTATTATTGCCTGCATTGTTGTGTTTGGGCTTGGCCTCATGTAAGCCGCACCGAGTCCCTTGGGGAGATGGTATCAGGGTACTAATAAAGTGTTGTTGTTGTTGTTGTTATTATTATTAAGAGTGTCTGGTCGTCCCTCAGCTTGCCAATTAGTACATTCCTTTCACTATCACTATCTGGCCTTGGCCGTTCAACCTTTTCCTCGGCCCCTTTTTCTGTTAGCATCGAAGCATCTTTGCCTTGGGAACCAACGATCCCAGAATCCTCTGGTTCACTCTGGCTAGAACCAGATACTGTGTCAAAGAAGAGTTCAGATTCAGAGCCTCAAGAGAAACAATGTTTGTTCATCTTGTCAGGCAGCCCATCTAAAGATTACTTAGAAACCATTTCTATTAACAACAAAGACATGAAAGGACTTCGAGATACAGGCTCTGAAGTATGTATAGTGCATCCAGAAATAATACCTCAGGAATTTCAGCGGCCTACCTCTGAAATAAGATTAAAAGGTTTAGGACCTGCGATACCAACAGCAGTAGTGACTTTGCCAATAGAATATGGAGGATGGAAGGGTATGTGGGATTTTGCAGTCAGTCCTGACATACCATACAGATGTTTAATTGGAAATGATTTGGCTAAGAAGATTGAAAGCTGGAGGATGACGTGTGAAGAGGAAGAATATAACAACGAAAGCCATGATCAAAAAGCCATGTGTTTTGCCATACAACAGGATGGGGAGGAGAGTCCGGAATCCAGCGCTACGGTTGCTGAGCTTGTTAAGAAGACGGGAGGAATTGAAGAAATTCGGCAGGAACAAGGAGCCGATGAATCTCTTAAACCTCTATTCGCTTTGGCTCAAAACCCCACAATATTGGCAAAAGAACAGCCCTCCGAGTTTGTGTTAAAGAATGGTGTTTTATATAGAAAAACCAGGAATGTGGAGTCAACAGAAGAATCAGTGACAAGTAGTCAAATTGTAGTGCCTCAAAGTTTTAGAGAACAGCTGATGAGGGTGGCACACGAAAACCCTCAAGGTGGACATTTGGGTGTGAGGAAAACCACAAAGAGAATCACTAAGAACTTTTATTGGCCTGGCGTGTTCCAGAAGATCAAAGAGTTTTGCCAGT